ACAAGTCCACAACAGAATGGCTTCAGAAAAACAAAATCCGCCCTTTGGAGTGGCCAAGTCAGAGCCCAGACCTCAACCCAACAGAGATGCTATGGAATGACTTTAAGAGAGCTGTGCACATGACACGTCCAAAGAATATGACAGAGCTAAAGCAGTTCCGCCAGGAAGAGTGGGCTGAAATCCCTCCTGAGCGATGTGCAGGTCTGATCCACAGCTACAGGAAGTGCCTGGCTGAGGTTATTGCTGCCAAGGGGGGGTCAACCAGTTATTGATTCCAAGGGTTCACTTACTTTTTCCACTAGCATTTTGAATGTTGAATGAGTGTGTTCAATAAAGACATGAAGGATCAGGATTGTTTTTCAGGATTTGTGTTATTATTTTAGGCATATCACATTTTATGACAAATTAATGCAGAACACCATGAAATTCCAAAAGGTTCACATACTTTTTCTTGCAACTGTAAATGGTTCTCCAGATTTTCCCTCCCAGGGGCTGAAACGGGAAGTTCTCACTCGACCAGTATGGAATTTTCCTATAGTACCCAGACAGAACCATTTGCCAACAAGAAGGTCCTTGGGAACGGATACGTTGGATAATCAATCTGCTGGCTTCCAAGAACAATGGATTCTATTCAAATTGGAATCAGTGGAGCATCCGATGGGCAGGGGTTGATATGGCTTGCACTTCGCTTAATGTGGGCTCTGGCCCTCTCTAGCCCTGGAGCATAAGTCAGTAAAAGCTAACTCCAAGATTGACAGGAGCCCATCAAGAGAAGGGGAGCCAAAGCCCGTAGGGTTAATTTCAACTTCAGCCAACATTGAAAAGAGCGATCCAGAACCTTGGTGTGAAAGTTCTCATGCTGTCAGAAAAACCACCACCTCACATCAGATCTGGCTGTTACCAAAGCAAGAGACGCATTGTTCCTCTTGACCGATCTCCAACCAGGCCTCCCACCCTGTTCCTGCTTCTGCACAGCGGAGGTGGGAGGAGACGCAAACACTGAACCCTGAGTGCGCCATATACAGGGCTTGCTTTCCATGCAAGCCAGTCCCTGGTTTATTTATTTGAATTTATCAGCCGCCTAACTCTGATGGAATTCTTCTGTTGTGCCTTCTCTGCTCTTCTACAAGAAAAACCTGTTCCCAGATTCTTGCGTGCCTGTTCACTACCTCGAGCCAACCTGCCAGGAAGATGCCTCTCATGTCAGGAGCCCAACCTCAAGTTGCAAAACAGTGCTGATTACAGAGCTGAACTTGAAAGGCTGCCTCAGGGACTTGGACTGGATTAGGGATAATACAGAGAGTGCCTCAAGTTCAGCTCCATGAAAACTGGGCTAGAATTTTTGCCCCGAGAAGCTTTAAAGACACTGGAATAACCTCTAGAGAAAAAGAGTCCCAGAATTACTGCCACACTGAGCTGAGCTATGAAGTTGGCAGAGGGTTGCTCAGAGGCCTCTCTTCCTGGGCTCACACAATGGGCCCAAGACATGTTTCACATAAATAAGGGGGTCCACCTGAAGCAATGTGCCCACCCAGGCACACAGCCCTACTTAGCAAGTCTTTGTAGGACCCAGAATTGTGGCAAACAGCCCCCGCAATTTTGGCTTTCTGCTAAATGACCTCCATCTCAGATGGAAGGGCTTCACTGGACAACGGCCTGCAGAACTCACCCCTCAGGGCTGTTTCTCACCAACCTTCAATAAGCAGAACTTCTACTTGTTTTGTCTACAAACTTAGATGCATGGAGAACCTGACTAGGACATGACCAGTTAATCAGGACATGAATTATCATAATTATATTAATTACTGAGTTAAATAGTAACAGTGTCAAAACACACTCGTTTTACTCCTCTCAGTGTTGGCACAGGGGCCACTGACGCGGCCCCTTCTTCTGAGAGAGGGGGTGAAGGCCTTGGAGCTGAATCAAGGGCAGCTTTAAAATCAATTAACGTCACACAAAAGGATCCTCTGAGAATACTGGTGTGTAGCTCAATTAGATGCTGAAGGGTTATGCAACGGTCTGTCGCTGATCTCCTCTTCTCAAAATCTGGCTTGTTCTCTAGGGACTAACCTTTCCCCCTCGACCGTTCCAGGTGAAGTCCTTTGCTGATGGTGGTTCAGAGACGAATCAGGTGGTGGCTGGTTGGATCTACCCTATTTCTTTTCTTAAACATTGGCATGATAATGGCTAGTCTCCTGCTCGGTTGTTATAGGGGGACTGAGAAGTCAGAATCAGTCACCACCGTTCTGGATTTGACTAAAGAGTAACTCAGGGAGCCTAAAATCCGGACCCAGCATCGTGTCCATTTCTGGTTGGGATCTGAGGTCCTCCGTTGCTCCAGGAGATGCAGCAGCTCATCAGGCAAGGCTTGGAAAAGCTCTCAGCCATCACAAGCAGCCTGAAGCCCCAGGGCAAAAGTTAAGGGGATGTTTCCAGGTGGGTAAGAGAGAAGGACCTACAAACGTTTGGGTTCCCCAAAACACCGGGAATCTGGCAGCCTCACTCCATAACCCAAAGCTGGTACTCTGAAAGGACGCTGGCCGGATTCACACGTCACGCTAAACCAGAGGCGGCCACGTTTCGAAGGTGGATGCTACAAGTGGCCCAGCGGGTGGAGCTGCAAGGTCCCCATCCCTACGTTAAGCCATTGTGTGGTTTCTCTGGTTTTGGTGCGACACCAGCTACTGACAACAACGTCTTGTGGTTTAGTGCAATGTGTGTAACCGGCACCAGGGCCTGGCTCAGTACGTGGATCCAACCACGATACCCGTGCCTTGGCTAGGCGGCCTTCTGGGGAGGAGCAAAGAGGACAAGCCACCCTCTAAAAGAAATACGACCCCTTTCGGCAGGAAACAGCTGCGTGCTCCGTGCTTCGCCCCACACCCTCCTCGGAGGGAGTGCCAGACACACCTTGCTGCTCTTCTCCCGGTAGACGTGCGGGATCACCACGAAGTGGAAGTGGCTCAGGTCCTGGGCGCAACGCTCCCCGTTGCGGGCTTCCACCTCAAAGTCCAGCTCCTGGGCCAGCGTCCCCTTCAGATCCTGGAGGAAGGAGATGGGGAGGAGGAGAAGTGGGGTGCAGAGGCAGCCTTGGCCAAGCAGCGCCGGGAGACTGGGGTGCCAAGCACACCGGGCACCGCCCAGAGACCCAAGAGCATGGTGCGGAGGCAGCATTGCTGCTCCTAGTGCCTTCGGCAAACCAGCAGGAGCCCATCAGGCTTCCGGCAACAAAACCTTGGGTTTGCACGTGGGGGGAGTGAGGACCAGGGTTGCTCTGCCACCAAGATGCCACCCCTGTACCCCTCCCCCTGGGCCCAACCTTTCCCAGGGGAGGGGTACAAGGGCATGCCAAGGGTGGGCCTTCAGGATCCCCTTTGCTCCTCTTAAAGCAGCGAGGACCCGGCTCGTACGTCCAGGGGCTGCTTGGAAACTTCCAGACGCATTTGAGGGAGCAAGAAAGGGTGTTGAAAGGTGGGGGGATCCTCTTAAAGGTCCACCCTGGCCTGGCCTTGTCCCTCAACCCTCAGACCCTCCTTTTTACCAGCCAGGTTCTGTAGCTGAGGCTGGAGACAAAAGGTTCCTGGCTCAGCCCTGAGGCATCCCCCCCAAGTGACTGGAGGGGCTCAGAAGCACAAGCCAGTAAATCAATCCAGGGTGCTGCAGGGGGCGAGGAGGTGGCCAGGCGCAGCTCTCTCAGGCCAGCAGCAAGAGGTGCCGGGGCGGGGGCTCCTCCGGGAGAATCCGGGCCAGCATTCCCAACGCGATACCTTCAAGATCCAGCTGAAGCCAAAAGTGGGGTGCATCTGCTCCACGATCCACAGCAAAAACTCCAGGGTGCGGATGTCGCCGTCAAACCGGTCCCTCAAGTCGATGTACTGCACCTGCGAGGGGAGCAGGAGACGGTGATTCCCTGGGAATCGGGGCGGTCCTGGAGGAGAGCCGCAGCTCAAGATCCCTGCCTGCCTGCCTTCCCCGACCGGGTGCCCTACCCCAGAGGGGACCAGGCTAGGGGAGGGTGACCCCTCGAACTGCTCCCCCCCAACTCCCATAGGCCAGCAGCAAGGGGTGCCGGGAAGCGTCGTTCAGCAATTCCACCCCTCTGGTCCTTCAGCTGCCCCCAGACGCACCTTCACGGCCACCGGGGTGCCATCGTGGAGACGAGCCCGGTGCACCTGGGCCAAACTGGCGGCAGCGATGGGCTGGTAGTCAAACTCCAGAAACAGCTGGTTCGCCTTGGCATTGAAGTCCTCCAGGAAGAGGTCGTCCACCTACAGCCACAGGAGGGCCACAGGAGACGGGGCGTCAGCAAGCGCCTCGGACGGAGGAGGTGAGTTTGGAAACTAACCGTCCCTCCGGATCAGGAAGGTGAAAGAGAAAGGAGGCAGAGTCACTTAAGCGAGGTTTCCTAAGAAGGTTCTCAAGGTCTGCTGAAACGGAGACGGACCCTGGAATGAGCAGTCACAAAGCTAAAACTTCAATTCGTACTGTCCTTTAGGTACAAGAAGAATACAGGCTACCCGTATAGCCAACTGAAGAATATGCCTGATAAATAAGACAACATGGAAAGACTGAATTAAAGCAAGACCAAATCTGCCCCAAGTTAACTGAAGGAGAACATTTTGCAATAAACGGCAGAAAGGAAAGGAGAAGGACAAGCCACGAGGGGCGTTGTGTAAACTGGGAAGTTTTCCTGCTATTAGAACGGAAGTTGTCGATGTGGCCGCCAGGAGAAGAGCGGAAGGACGTCACTTTCCGACTGAAGCTCAGAGCCCCCCGCTTTGGGGCCGGCAACTGGTGACCCAAGAAAGAGGGGAAGACCGAGTGCCGGTGGCCCCGGGTCCCAAAGCGCAGCCGGTTCTGAATTCGGCAGACGTGGCACTGAAACTCGGCGATCTCTCCGCCTGCCCGGCTTGGCGTCCACGGCCACGGCCCACAACACCCCCACCCCGCCCTGCTCACCTCCGTGTAGCCCCGCCGGAGCGCCTGGTCCTCTAAGATGCGCAGCGTGTCGATGTACTCCTGGGGGAGGAGGTGGTTGAGAGCACACAGGCCTTGGCCCAGCTTGATGTAGAGGCCCCCGTTCTGGGTGGCCCCGAAGACGATGCTCTCGGCGGAGCGCTGGTGACACCGCGACACGGCCGCTGCATACTCCGGGCTGTTCTGACGACAGGGAAGGAGGGCGAGGGGCAGGTGGTCAGGCCTGCCCGGCAGACCTCGCCACAGGCGGCAGCACACGGACAGCTCGGCCGGGTGCCCCTCCCCTCCGCCCCCCCCCCCCCCCAGGGGGGGGGGGGGGGGAGCCAGGCTACCCCGGGACATTTCGGATGAGGATTCCCAGCCTGCTGCCGCCCCCACCCCCGGATTCTGACGGTCACAAGCGAGCAGGGAGGCGGCTCGGCTGGCTCGGGAGCAACTTCTCCTCTTCCACGTGAAGCAAAAGGTGTGCTGCTCGTGCTTCCTCTGCACTAAGCAAACACATACGCACGCGTGCACGCACACACACACCTATCATGCAACCCCCTCTTGGGGTAAGCAACAGCACTGCCTCCCAGCAGCAACACGACTGCAAACACCCCACAGGAAACACACTGTGCAAAAAGAGGGAAATTCTGCCCCCTCCAAGGGGGGGGAAGTCCCACCACACCTCATGGACAGGGAGGCGACACAGCGTAACCTCCCTCTCTCTCTACCCCGCACCTCTCTTAAGGGACGGTGGGCCGCGGCACCGCTCTGATACACGCTACACGAGAGCAGGAAAGGAGTCAGAAACCGCAAGGAAGACAACCGCCCAGACATCTGGCTGCCCCGCTGCTGCTATTCGCAATTCCTCTGCACTTCGCTCACCTTGCGAGCTTCTACCACACCCACGCCCAGCTCAGGGCGCTGCTTTCTGCTCTTTAAACATCTCGCTTCCCTCTCTTCCAGGACCTCATCAGCTCCACCTGACCACCCTTGGTCTCCTCCTCCTCCTCCTCCTCTTGTTCGCTCTTCCTTCACGTATTGGTTTTCCAATGCGTTTCCCTCCCTCGTTCTCTCCGCAAGGCCAAGCCACTTCAACGGACTGCTTTCGTACCCTTTTTGTCTTCGGCTTTCCTTTCTCCTTGCCCATTCACTGCTGGCCTCTCTTCCTTTACCCATTATGCTCCTTAGGCAGCCCATTCAACCTGCCTGTGCGTTTCTCCTGACATACTGAACGTTCACTTCCGTACAACACCCGGGGAAAAGCACGCTCTTACGCATAGAGGCTTCTGCTTATTTCAACGTACGTTCATTCTTCCCAACAGACCACATCCTATTCACCATCTTTCTAACAACATCTGCACATCTTAAAATTTCTTCTTCATTTCCCCATATTCAGCAATCTATTTGCTTCACTTCGGAGCCATGTATGTCTAACCTGCAGTCACTCCTTTCATTTTCCATGTCAGACACAACCATCTTGGTCTTTGATAAGTTAATGATGGAATTCTCACCCTTTGCTGCCTCATACAATTTTTCTAACCTTTTCTTAGCCAAAGAAACGGCACAAGTATGAAGATCTTTCTATTCTCCCAGGCTTTTAAATATGCTGTACTTCGTGTTGTTTCAGTCTTTGAATTACTGGTTTCAAAGCAACTGTACCTCGTCCAGGCCTCTCAACGTGACGTGGTTTGTCCACCAGTAATCCAAGGAGATCTGGACTCCCAGCCGCAGGGACCTTTGGGAAAGGATAAGCCAGGCTGAGGGCCGTCCCTTCACTCCCACTGCTCGCTGCCACCCCAGGCCAAACCTGGGGCAGTCTGGGGAGGATCCAGGAAGCGGCTCCTTCTGCATAATGGGATCCCTGTTCCAGGGCTGGCCCCAGAGTGTTTGAAGGTCCCTAAGGAGGCACCTGAGACCCTCGTGAGCTCAGTCAGGCCCAGAGAGTTTGTGGCTTCCTTAGTTCGGGGGTGTCCTTCATGGGCCAAACTCCTGATGGACCCACAGAGCCAGCCACATCTTGCCATGATGGCTGAGCTGGCCTTCATAAGGAGGGACTCTCCTTTCTCCAGGCCACCCCCCAGGGAAAGGGCCAAGGGTGCCTTCCAGTAGCCACCTGACAAAGCGCAGCACGCCACCAGCCAGTAACCGCATCTTCCGCTGTTCCTGCTTCTCGGCCAAGCCATAGTAGATGCCCGTCACTAAAGGGAGCCCCACTGCTGTTCCCAGAAAGGTCCTCTTCAGCAGCCCCCTCTGTCCAGTAGAGCTATAGGGTGGGAGACACAGACAACCATGAACCAAGCAGAGCAGGGACCATCTCTTCCTTGCAACCCCAAGGACCCAGATCCATCCCGGAGGCTCCTGACGCCGGTGGGACATCTGTAGGAACGAGAAAGCCCTTGTGCCCCAAGTCAGCCTGGGTCGAGCACCAGCTACCTGGCTGACCGAGCCTCAGTGCACGACCGGCAGGGCGGAGAGACCAGCCAGGGGCTCCTCTTGCGCTGAAGCAGGTGCAGGTGGAAGCGGCAAACTTGGAGCTGCAGAAAAGAGAGACTGAGTGAAAACTCAACCCACAGGCCACTTCCAGGAAGTCCAAGTGGCCACCACTGTGGAGGAGAGTGGAAGCATTCAGGCCCGTGATTCGGGGCACTGCGGGCCATCCTCCCCTTTATGGCAGTTGAGGAAGGGGTCAGAGCAGGGAAGGGGAAGGGTCAGGGTTGCCTAGGTGCCAGGCAGGGGCTCTGGCATCGAGTCTCCAAGAAAGGAAATGGCTCCAGCTTTGTGAAGCCCCTTCCCCAGCCAAGGGAACCCTGGAGGTGCTGGACTGCTCTCCAAGCACCTCCAGCCCAACCTGGTTGAGGAAGGCAAACAAAGGGAGGAGGCTCAGCATTGCCCCTGCCGTGCCCACACCCGAAGCCCTGGGAGGAGGGAGGGCAGTCTAGAGAGAGGCTGTGGGATCCAGCGGGACTCGGCGCCAGGGAGAGGAGGAGAACATCGCGCCCAGCTTGCATCCGGCCCCAGGAGATGCCGGTCCCCCCACAGAGAGAGCCTGCAGTGCACCAAGCAGGAGGGCCTTGACCTGCCGTTCCAGCACGGAGGAGGCTGCCAAGGCCTTGGTGTGGGCGGTGGGAGGGCATTATCTCGGAGGACATCTGCAGCACAGCTCAAGGGAGCAGACGGGTCAAGGAGGGATGGAAAGACCGCAGGAGCCCGCTCGCAGCAAATTTCCCTCCATCTGGGCAAAAAGCGGGAGGCGCAGAGCGAGGCGAGGCTCTCCAGGACCTGCTGCTCTTGGGAAGACGGCCGAAGGGCGCCTCAGCCGGGCGTCCAGGGCTGGACAAAGGCACCTCCATTCTCCTCCTCTGCCAGGCCGGCAGAGAGAGGGGGAGAGAGGCTCGCCCACCCTCGGGAGCACGTTGGGGGCCTGTCGGTTCTCCCAACCCCCAAACCAATGCGACGGTGGCTTCTGGGAATGACAGGCCAGAGACCCAGGGCCTTCGGCAGACGGGGAGCAGCCCAGGGGCGCCCCTCCCAAGCGCCCTCTGAGCCGCACCAGAAGAGCCCCCCACGCCCCCTGCCAGGGAGGGCCCACCCATTGGGGCTGTAGGCAAGCCTGAAGAGGC